CCCCCCCCCGCACAGGGACCCAGACAGCAAAAGAAAGCTATCCCTTCCCCATGCCATCCAAGTCTAATGAAAATCTTGCTTGGTCTTGGGCTCTAACTCAACATTGGTTGGCGTTGGGTTGTAACTCAACATTGGTTGGTGATAGGCTCTAACTCAGCATTGGTTGGCATTGGACTCTAACTCAACATTGCATGATGTTGGGCTCTAACTCATTGTTGGTTAGCATTGAGCTCTAACTTAATGTTGGTGGGTGTTGGGTTCTAACTCAACATTGGTTGGCTTTGGGTTCTAACTCAACATTGGTTGGTGTTGGGCTCTAACTTAATGTTGGTGGGTGTTGGGTTCTAACTCAACATTGGTTGGCTTTGGGTTCTAACTCAACATTGGTTGGTGTTGGGCTCTAACTTAATGTTGGTGGGTGTTGGGTTCTAACTCAACATTGGTTGGCTTTGGGTTCTAACTCAACATTGGTTGGTGTTGGGCTCTAACTTAATGTTGGTGGGTGTTGGGTTCTAACTCAACATTGGTTGGCTTTGGGTTCTAACTTAACATTGGTTGGCGTTGGGCTCTAACTGAATGTTGGTTGGCGTTGAGCTCTAACCACATTATATGGCATTGGGTTCTAACTCAACATTGGTTGGCATTGGGCTCTAGCTCAATGTTGGTTGGTGTTGGGCTCTAACTTCACATTGGTCGGCGTTGGGTTCTAACTTAATGTTGGTGGGTGTTGGGCTCTAACTCAACATTAATTGATGTTGGGTTCTAACTCAACGTTGTTTGCCATCGAGCTCTAACTCAGTGCTGGTTGGCATTGGGCTCTAACTCAATGTTGGTTGGTGTTGAACTCTAACCACATTGAAATTGGCTTCTAACTCAATGTTGGTTGGCGTTGAGCTTTAACTCAACATTGGATGGTGATGGGCTCTAACTTAATATTGGTGGGTGTTGGGCTCTAACTCAACATTAATTGGCGTTGGGTTCTAACTCAACATTGGATGGCATTGGGCTCTAACTCAATGTTGGTTGGTGTTGAACTCTAACTCAACATTGGATGGCATTGGGTTATAACTCAACATTGGTTGGTGATGGGCTCTAACTTAATGTTGGTGGGTGTTGGGCTGTAACTCAAGGTTGGTTGGCATTGGACTCTAATTTAGGGTTGGTTGGCATTGGGCTCTAACTCAACATTGATTGGCGTTGGCTCTAACTCAACATTGGTTGGTGATGGGCTCTAACTCAACGTTGGTTGGTGATGGGCCCTACAGCTAACAGAGGCACGGTCACTCTTCCCCTGCACCTCAGTAACGTAATGCATCCAACCATCAGACTGCGGAATGTCCAGTGCAAGAGTCTCCTTTGTAGAAAAGTAACTTTTTTATTCCAAAAGCCCTAAAACCACCCAACACGACTCCAACTTCAGGAACTGTGACATTGTTGCTCTTACTTTGTGTCCGCTCAACCCAACATGCTACATAGCGGGTTGGTGTTAAAGGGCTACCTGCAACCATCTGGTGTCCTCTCCATCCCGGCAGCTTGAAAGTAACTTGTTCTTTTTTTTTTTTGTCTTTTTAGCTGGAAATCGAGACCTTAGAAAAGGAGAAACGAGACCTGAGGGCCCAGATTGCTCAGATCCTGGAGGAGAGGCAGCAGCTCATGCACCTTAAGATGTCCCTCAGTCTGGAAGTGGCTACGTACAGGTAAATGACGTCGACCCCCGCAGGCTGGAAAGGGAATTACACCCGGCGTCTGATGGCAAGTGAACATAGCAGTAAGGGGTTCAGTGTGTAGAGATAGAACATTGTGTGGTGAATGAATCCAACTTTACCTGTCGGTGATGTTTTTGACTCCACCGTAGTCACATTGATCAGTATATACATTGTCTATCTGGCCTGTGGTTCCCCTTTAAATAATGGCGGCCTGATCTCCTCGTGATGGACGTTTCTGGCCGCCGGTCATAGATCACATCAGACGCGTTGCAGGATCACGGTGGAGTTATCCGGCGCAGACAATTTATGTCTCTTCTCACTCACACGGCCCAAAATAGTTTCAGCGTTACAGTGAGAACCTCGGAACTATAAACAGCGCCGGCGGTGAGATCCGCTTGTTTACCGGATCAAAGCACGACAGTCATACTTTCTCATCTCAGAGATTTCCCCGAAAATGATTTTTATCTGGGAAACGTTTATATCTAATTTTTTTTAAAATCATGATTATTTTTATTACGACTCTCACATTTAAAGGGCCAGACCGCCCCAAACCGATATCTGCGTTGGACTCTTTTGGGGCTTTTGGGACCGAGATGTCAGCACCAGGGTTCCCAGCTCCGCCCACCAGGGATTTGTAAAACAGCCTCACTCCCCATGTTTACTATTTTACTTTGAGGAGGAGCTGAGAACTGCCCCTCCTGTCCCCTATTTTGCTATTTTACTTTGAGGAGGAGGAGCTAAGAATTGCCCCCATGTTTACTATTTTACTTTGAGGAGGAGCTGTGGGAGGAGCTGAGAACTGCCCCTCCTGTCCCCATTTTTACTACTTTACTTTGAGGAGGAGGAGGAGCTGAGAACTGCCCCTCCTGTCCCCATGTTTACTATTTTACTTTGAGGAGGAGGATGAGCTGTGGGAGGAGCTGATAACTGCCCCTCCTATCCCCATGTTGACTATTTTATTTTGAGGAGGAGCTGAGAACTGCCCCTCCTGTCCCCATGTTTACTATTTTACTTTGAGGAGGAGCTGTGGGAGGAGCTGAGAACTGCCCCCTCCTGTCTGTTCCCAAAGTAAATTGGTTAATGGTTCCACCCACCGTCCTCCAATCACAAATGACCCTTCAGTCCTGGTCAGATGGACCTTTTCACGGGCAGGGCCGCCATCAGGGGGGGGGTAAGCGTGTCTATATATCAAAAACTTGTTTCCTATTTATGAGTAGCCAACGGTGACAACCTTTTTATTCATCCATTAAGGAGATTTCCCTTCACTTCCTGTCCCTGAGACACAACAGGAAGGACATCTCTTTAATGAAGAAAGTAATCCGTTCTTAGAGAGTTGTCACCAGTATGGGTGCCCCCATTGCAAGATTTCCCTCTCTTCCTGTAATGGTGACAACCGTAGCATTTTGGATCTCCCATCACTTCCTGTCGTATATATCTATATAATCAATACAATGTAACAAGTTTGCTTTTAATAATACATAAAGCTCAAGTGGGGTGACGCAGGGGCGTAAGGAGGCACACCCCCGCCGTGACATCATCGCGCATGCTTGGTAATCTAAGTGACGCCCGCCGGCGGCCCCCTCCTGTAATAAAGACCGGTCACTGCTCTTCTCTCTCCTTGTGCAGGGTGACTGGTCTTGTCTCCGCCCCCCTCCTGTAATAAAGGCCGCTCTCTGCTGCTCTCTCTCATTGTGCAGGGTGACTGGTCTTGTCTCCGCCCCCTCCTGTAATAAAGACCGATCACTGCTGATCTATCCCCTTGTGCAGGGTGACTGGTCTTGTCTCCGCCCCCTCCTGTAATAAAGACCGCTCACTATCGCTCTCTCTCCTTGTGCAGGGTGACTGGTCTTGTCTCCGCCCC